ATCATGCAGGAGAAATCCAGAGCTTTCCAATGATACCAAGATCGCCTTATTCCGACCAAGATCGCCCAAGTTACAAGAATTCCAAGATTTGGTTTTCTTATTACCTTTTGGGGTTATATCTAATTTGGGTGATTACTTGGGACATGACTATAAAGGGATCTTTGGTTGGGTGGTTAGGGAAGGCAACTTTGACTTTTGGATTGGGGTGGCTAGAAGTTTCTAGCATGGGTTGCAAATGTTGCAACACCTAGGCAAAATCCAACTAGATTGGATTTTGCATGTGACACCTCAAGGACCTCATGATGAGGGTTGCATCCTTGCTGCTAGGAAGGTTCCTACCATCCTTCCCTAGCTCTTGGAGAACCCCTTCCCTCTCATGGTTCTCTTGGAGTCCCCAACTCCAACTTCCTATGCTCTAATGTTTGTACTTCCTCCACCATTCTAGTCATGCGGCTGCTGGACGTTTTTACTTGGTTTTCACTCTATAGACCATCTTAACAACTGATTCAACTTGGAGATGGTAGCTAAGCCTAAGGCGCAACTTCCTACTGAGCGGATTTGCGTTTAGTTGAGTAATGAGTTCGTCGTAAGCTCTCAAAGTGACGGATCCTGAACAACACTCTGCCCACACTGTAACGACGAGGAGACACTGGAACACTGCCTGTTTGCCTGCCCGCGGATTCAAACGGTGGTGTCCGCTCTGAAGCGTGCCCTTCGCATGCTCAACCCACGGCGGGACACGGAGTCACTGGAGGACCTCCTCTTCCGCAAAGCTGGGACGGGGACGGCTTTTCCGGAAGCAACCCTTATCGCGATCACACTGCATCAGATCTGGCTTGAGCGGTGTGACGCTGTTTTCAGAGGATGTAAATTTCGAGCGCGCCGAGTGCTGAGAAGGATCCTGTTCGCCTTCCGTCTACATCCAAGGGTTTACATGAAAGCGCGCTTGATAGCGTGGTAGAAGAAGAAGAAACCGGCGCAGGGAGACAGTTTCGGCAAAAGCTTACTGGAAGAGCAACGGATGCTGAGTAGGATACGCCTGGCAAGTGAGAAGAAATGGACGTGGACCAGAGGATTCGAGTCCATCTGGACTAATCCTAGAACAGTTTTCAACCCTTCGTAGAATCCTCGCTGGAGCAGACAGCCTCTGCTCGCTCATGCTTGGTTACGACTGCTATTGTTAGTGTGCATCTGCTGTTTGTGGTGTATATTTTCAATAATACAAAAAAAAAAAAAAAAAAAAAAAAACGCTGATACACTTACAGCATACACGAAATATGACAGCCCAGGGCCTCGAACCGCAGACATTACCCTTTGACAGCGATTTCACATACATTTGAGGAAGGGTTGTTGCAGAAAAATATTTCAAGCATCAGATCTCTCTCCCGTACGCCCACCAGCAGCAAGGTGTCGCAGAGAGGGTTAATCGTACCCTCATGACAAAAGTTCGTGCCCTCATGAACCGGTCCGGCCTACCCCAGAAATACTGGCCGTACGCCATGAACCATGCTGTGCGCCTGCACAACCTTCTCTCCATCACGGCCAACCAGGGGAATCTCTCCCCGCACATGAAGTGGACCGGCTCAAGGGGAGATACCTCCATGCTGAGGGTTTGGGGGTGTGTGGTGCAGTATCGGCCGACTTTGGCTACCACCGGAAAATTCACTCACCGCGCACGCTGGGGAATCCACTTGGGACTCAGTTACGAGTACCAAGGCTGGCTAATTCTGGACATAGACACCAACAAGATCGTCCCTGCGCGCGACATCCTTTTCTACAAGCGTCTTACCTTGCAGCAGTGGATCGAGGACGAGCATTGCAACGTCGCACACGCCTACGCCAACAATGGCCGCAGCTTTGCATCTCCTGAAGACGAGGCACCAGCAGCAGTACTCGACCGCGACCCCCGCCGACGAACATCCCGGCGTACCACCTCGCCCGCGCAACGACGACGACAAAGACGATGATGACGACGATGACACTCCCGCACCAGGGCCATCACGTCGCCACACTTAGCCCAGCACCTCCTCACCTGCCCACGAGAGTGACGATGATGATGTGGTGGAAGTCACCACCACAGACACCGCAGGCACCACCAATGTGTCTCGCCTGCAGCATCTCGGCCTCCACACGTCAGTCACTACCCTCACGCGCACCGTCGAACCTAAAAATCCACGACAGGCCCTAACCGGTCCTCACGCCAAAGAGTGGCGTGCTGCCATGGATGTGGAACTGAAGGCGCTGGAATCACGTGACACGTGGGTCTTAGTCGATTGTGCAGCAGTGAAGGGGAGGAGGGTACTAAGCGGAAAATGGGTTTTTCGTGAGAAAACCAACGCTGACGGTACTATCGAGCGCTTCAAGGGCACGCTGGGTCGTACGCGGGTACGACCAACGTCACGGCATTGACTTCGATCAAACCTTCGCTCCCGTCGGCCGTCACACATCCGTCAGGATTCTACTCGCCATTGCGTTTTTATACGGTATAAAAACAGCCGCCGCGCCTTTGGCAGTAGCATTTACACAAGATTCTCCTGGAAATCTGCTTCAGGCAGCTGCCGCACGACCTGCGAATGTACCGCCTCCACTTCAATGGCGATTACATCCTCCTGACCGTCTACGTTGATGACCTGCTGTAGACCGCTACCTGCAACAAACTTCTTTATCAGTTCGAGGAGAACTTGGCGCAGCGCGTTGACATCACCATCAACCACAACGTCACACAGTTTTTGGGGCTGAACATCACCTGCGCGCCAGAAGCAATTCACCTGTCAGCCTCCAAGTACGCAGAGCAGCTAGGGGAATTCTTCAACATCTCACCCACACCACTGTCAACCCTTTACCGCAACCCCAGCGCCAACTATAAACCGGACAACAAACCTCTGTCGCCCGCAGGACTCCAACCGTACCAGCAGCAATTGGGGGTGCCTACTGTTCGCCTCTATCACCTGCCGACCCGACCTTTCGTACATCGTGAGCCAACTGGCACAGTACTCCCAGAAGCCAGTAGCTGAGAACCAGCTAGACCTGGAGCGCGCCCTGCAGTACTTCATTTCCACACCTGACATCGGGCTCTCCTACTCCACGCTGACGACAACCTCCTTCAACCTCAACGGCTACGTGGACGCAGATCATGCCGCTGATCCTGAACCGGCTTTGTTTTCCTCCTGGAGCCATCAAGACCAATCTCTTTGAACTCATAGAAGCAGGAACTGGTTGCCCTGTCATCGGCCGAGGCAGAATACATCGCCGCGACAGCAGCAGTTCGCGAAGGTCTGTACCTGCAAGAGTTGCTGCAGCAAGCGAAAATCCCAACTTCGCCTACCTTCCGCCTTCACTGCGACAACCAGAGCGCCATCAAGATCGTGAACAAGCCAGGATTCGTGAACCGCACGAAGCATATCGCGCTTCGGTACTTTTTCGTCAAGGACAAAATTGACCAGGGCAAATTTGACCTCGCGTACTGCCCCACCAAGCGACTGCCACGTTAGCAGTGTAAGCACTGATCCGACCTCACCGGAGTAGTCAAGCGAGTCAGCCCTCTGCGTGTCCAGGAATGAAGGGGAGTGTTACGATATGAAACTTTATGAGAAGGCATTCCTGTATGCTGCGGGAGCCGACTCTACCGAGTACGAAGTCGAGGAGTCAGAAGAGTCGAAGAGACATTGGTAACCGTCTGACCAAGACCGATGCAGGCAAAAACATTCGAAGTGAAAAGAGCGGGAACAGGTTTGAAACGGGTTCCCGCACCGCACGGTTTGAATTTGCTGTAATAAGGGAATGTACCTCTTAGAGTACATGGCTAGTCTAGGTTGTTTTGCATTCCTGTGGATTTCCTATATAAACCCGATGTATGCATGCTCCTATCATCTCAGTCATTCACATTCACTCTGATCTGAGGTCAATACTTTCACTGCAACACTACCCTGCGATCAACCTTGAACGATCCTTCGCGAAGTACCACTTGGGATTGTAACATGGTATGAGTGCTACTCTGGGATTCTTCGCAACTTCACTTCCGTGAAATTCGCCGAACCAGCGAGCGGCACACGCTCCAAGACCAAGATGCCCGGAGGATCCCGAGGCCAAGCAAATCTGACGGCCGAAGGACAAACCAACCCGGCTGCGACAAATGAGGCGACAACCACAATCAGCACTACCACACTCGAGCAGTTATTTTTGCGACTATCAACCATGGAGAAAGACCTCCAAGAACTGTGCAAAGACGACACGGGAACCTCTTTCCAACCAGCTCAACCTGGTCAACCGGCTGCGAAAAGCCGTCATACCGCCGCGCATACCTTCTCCCTCGACACAGACAAATCAACAACGATTGCCCCCCGTCCAAGTGATGAAGTCATCAACTCTGCGCAAGCACGCTTTCTCAACGTTTCGAAAATCAAGACTACTGCCGCGTTTGACGGGAAGGACTTTTTACACGTGGAGTTTTGAGCTTGAGCTCCTCCTACAGATAGTGCAGATCTACCATTACTTCGACGGCTCCTACGCTAAACCGGTGGAAGACACCAAAGATGCCAGGGCTCAGTACTACAGCAAGTCCCTCATGGAGTAGAGTATGCTGCTACGTAATATGACGCCTGCGGAACAACTCAGCATTCGCTCCTACAAAGAGAGCGCCGCTCCAACCCTGGAAACCTGGAAGCACCTCGTTGAGGTATATCAGCCGAAGGATTCAGTCACCGCCAGCAGTCATCTGCAGCAACTCATGGAGACCAAGATGGGGCACGGGGAGAAAGCGAACTCATATATCAACCGCTGTCGGAAAATTCGTGACCAAATCACGAAAATGGAAGCGCCATTTCGGAGGAGATCTTTGTCAACATCGTCCTCCATAGACTCGGGCCAGAGTGGAAGCCCTGCAAAGCGCTACTCCGACAACGAGAAATCATCTCAGAAGCCGCACTATGCGCCGCCCTCCTGACTGAACAGCAGGACATGGACTCGAACAGGAGCGTGCCGCGCCGAAAGCGCCTCGCCTTCTACGTGCGAGGAGTCGGTATGTCAAGGGCGTCGGGGTCTCCCTCAGGGGAAAGCAGCATGGTACAGAGAGTGGGAGAAGCGGCTGCCAGGTACTCCAGCTCAGAGTGCATGTCCTCTAGGACGTCACTGCCAGGGGAAAACTCACCCCCGACGGACAGAGGACGGGTAGGCGGAGCGGGCACCACACGAGTGCCGTAGTCAAGGCGGCTGACGGTGGCAAAGTCAGCGACAGCGGCAGTGAGAGCCGAGACAGACGACGGAGAGAAACAAGGGTCGGTGACACTAGTGGCTAGAACGCGGGAGACAACAGGGCGAACAGCACGGTAGTAGTCAAAGATAGGAGTAGGGGAGACAGGAAGAGAAGACGGAGGAGGAGACGGGAGAACTGACACCGGAGGAGGAGAACGACGAAGAGAGGTACAAAAGAGGGCAGTGCGGAGGTCGGTGATGGGGGACGAGGGACGAGCACTCGGAGGACAAGGACGGGAACGGTAGTGACGGACAACAGGAGGAGGAGACTGCGGTGGAGGAGAAGACCAGCCCGCCGGACGGGCGTCAGGAGGAGAAAACGTAGGACCGAACGCAGGAGGAGAAGGAGAGCGGACAGGAGGAGAGGAGGGAAGACCAAGGGCCCGGAGGCCACTCACGGGTGGGAACAACTGCCGCACCAGAGGGAGCTGCTGCGGCTGCGGTGGCGGCGGCAGCTACTGCTGCTGCTGTGTCTGCGGCTGCCGCTGCTGCTGCTGGTGGTGCTGCTGCTGCTGCTCCAGCAGGTCTAACTGCCGCAACTCCTGCCGCTCCCACTCCAACCGCTCCTGCTCCTCGCGCGCACGCCGGCAGGCCGCATGGTAACGCGTGTCATGGCGGTGGGGAGGCGGTGTGCTCTCCGCAGACGTAGTGCCCCTAGCTCCAGTCACCTCAGAACTAGCACCCCCCGGTACCAGTGTCCCCAGAAGGAGTTCCAACCGGGTCAGGGTCCCCAGCTCCAGCGCCCCCTGTCCTAGCACCCTCAGTGCCAGGACCTCCAACTCCAGCACCCCCAGAACTAGCTCCTCCCGTGCCAGCACCTCCAGCTCCAGCCCCCCCAGAACTAGCACCTTCAGTGCCAGCACCTCCAGCTCCAGCACCCCCAGAACTAGCACCTCCAGTGCCAGGACCTCCAGCTCCAGCACCCCCAGGGCTGGCGCCACCTGCGCCAGCACCTCCAACTCCAGCACCCCTCGAACGAGCACCCCCAGACTGAGTACCGCCAGTGGCTGCACCTCCAGCTCCAACACCAACCAAGTCCACAGTAACCTGTCGCGGAAGTACCGAAGGCTGCTGAGGGGACTGTGAGGAGGACTGCGGGGAGGGAGACACTACCTGACGCGCGACAGAGGGTAGAGGGGTATCGTGAGACACACCTTACGGGGCAGGACCAAGGGGGGTTGGGGTTACCGGAGGAGCGGGAGCAGGGGGAAGAGAGGGTGCGAGGAAAAGGGGGGGATGGTGAAACGGGAGACCTCGACAGGGGTACCGGGTGTAGTAGGACACGGACTCGTCGTACCGGACGTCACGGGAGTCTAGGAACTGGTCGAGTGGCGGGTGGTAAAAGGACCAGTCGGCCGAGGCTACTGGGAAACCTAGGAAGACACAGGGGACGGCGCGAGCCGAGAGCTTGTCCACAGAGGTGTCGCGGACAAGCGCAAGGCAGCCCCAGACACGAAAAGCTGACCCAACACCAGGGGACCCGGTCCAAAGACTGGTCGGTGAAGCCCCTGGCCGCGAGACGCGCGGCTGGAGGTTCAGCTGGTGAGCAGCGTAGCGAACCGCGTAGGGCCACAGAAAATGGGGCGCACGGGCGTGAATCATGGACGCGCGGGCGATGTCCATGACCAAGCCAATGCGCCGCTCAGCAACCCCATTCTGTTGTGGGGACTCCGGCAGCGTCCAGGACTGTACGATGCCCTGCTCGCCGCAGAATCCGGCAAGAATGCCTGAGCGAAACTCACCCCCACAGTCAGAGTGGAGGCAGGAGACACGACGGTCACGAGTGCCTTCAGTGGTTAGAAGCCACCGGATCAGCGTAGAAGTCACCTCGGACTTCTTCGCGAGAGGAAACACCGTACTGTACCTATAGAAGTCGTTGACGACCACCAGAAAGTAGCGCTCCCTCTCAGGTCCCTGCGTAGGTGCGGGGCCCCAGACATCCAAGTGGAGTGTCTGGAAGGGAGCAGTGCCGGACGAAGGGAGGAGGAGTGTGGAGTGGCACGAAGACGGCCGGCGACGCAAGGAGTGCACGGCGGTGCAGGCAAGGGAGGGAGCGACGGGAAGACGCGAGGGAGACCTGAAACAAGACGGTGGCTAGCCATAGTGCGAAGGCGGGGGATTGACGGGTGGCCAAGACGGTGGTGCCACAAGACGGTCCGGTGGGTGAAAGACCGACACGAGGAAGACGCAGCAACTATACCGGACACAGCAACCTGACCGGAACACAGCAACCTGACCGGACACAGCAACCGGTGGGGACGCAGTAACCTGACCGGACTCTGCTACCAGGGGGGGACGAAGCAACCTGACCAGATGCAGCTACCTGCGGGGGCGGAGTGTGCAGGACAAAAAGACCCGAGTGGGGCTCTCTGGTGAACGTGGTAAGAAGTGCCCCGGTGGAAGAGTCCGTACAGATCGCAGTCCTCCCCTGCACAGAAAAAGTGACTGTGATCCCCCGGTCTTGAAGGTATCCAACACCCACCAAGTTCCGAGAGAACGAGGGGATGTAGAGACTAGTGAGGAAACCAGAGGGGGACAGCTGGGCACGGGAGAGTGGTGGAGCTGCGAGCAACTGCTGGTCTTGAAGTAGGATCAGCCAGGGCAACTGGGACTAGAGCCGAAAGAGGTGTGACAGTGGTGTGGTCGCGGAAGAAGCACTGAGACGCGCCGGAGTCCAGCGTGAAGGAGAGCGACGCAACTGCAGTCGTCACGGCTGGGCTAGTGAATACACAAGCACCTACACTAGAAGCACTAGTACCGACACTAGCAACAGGCAAAGGTCCTAAGCTACGTACACGTAGCCAAGAGATCCGTACGTGACAGAATAAACAGCATCCATAGACATGTCAAACACAGGGTAACCACTACGAAACAGACCGGGCCAGATCGTGGGAGCCGACTCAGGCCCAAAACGCTCACGGTAAAGGTCGTCGAGGGCGGCTGTAGCAGCACTGTGCAGAGTGGTCAGGACGCCAGCATGTAGTGCCAGCACCAGGGCCGGTCAGGATCCGGTACTGGCAGGGGTCGACGTCGCGGCCACTGCGACGAGCCCCCTAGCTGGCTGGGCCGCTGCTGCAGCCAACGCTACCTGAACCACCAGGCCCCCACGGCTGCTGAGGGCGCCACAGCTGCTGAGGGCGGAGCTGCTGGTGAGGGCGCCCCTCCTGCTGCGGAAGCCACTTCTGAAACGGCCACTGCTGCTGTCCCTGCTGCTGGAGAATACTAGTGGACTCCATGATAAAAGCTAGCGGGGTGCAGGAGCGGCAGGCTAGGAGCGACAAGAGCTAGGGACGGCTGCAGTGGAAAACGAGAACAACTAGGAGCGCCAGGTGAAACTAGGCGAGTAACTGCTGGAGCACAGAGCAAACTAAGCTAGGAGCGCCAGGTGAAACTAGGCGAGGAACGGCTGGAGCACGGAGCAAACTGAGCTAGAAGCGCCAGGTGAAACTAGGCGAGGAACGGTTGGAGCACGGAGCAAACTGAGCTAGGAGCGAGGAGCGAGAACGGCTGGAGAGAGAACGGCTGGGCTAGAACGGCTGGAGCACAACTGGTTGGAGCTAGAAACGGCGAGCTAGGGCTGGCTGGAGGTAGGAACGGCCGGAGCTAGAGACCGTAAGTGCGGCTGTCGGCTGCCGCTAGTAGTTTCACTGGCAGTGGAAAATACGTGCGACAGTAGGGGCTGCAGTACTAACGGCTGCAGGATGTAGGCAACTGTGCAGGTCGTCCGGCAAGCATGAACGCGGGCGACAGTTGTAGGCCCCCACCCTAAACCCTCTTTTTATTTTAAGGGTTTAATTAATTAATTTATTTTCTGACGCTAAAGCGCTCCGGGGCGCGCTGCCTGCAGGGTGTGCTGCCTGCGGGGCACGCTACCCGCAGGGCGCGCTACCAGCGCGATGCGCTACCTGCGGGGCTGGGGCAACGGGCCAGGGCGCGGGCTGGGGCGACGGGCTAGGGCGCGGGCTGGGGCGACGGGCTAGTGCGCGGGCTGGGGCGACGGGTTAGGTCGCGGGCTGGGGCGACGGGCCAGGGCGCGGGCTGGGGCGACGGGCTAGGGCGCGGGTTGGGGTGACGGGCCAGAGCCCGGGCTGGGGCGACTGGCTAGGGCGCGTGCTGGGGCGACGGGCTAGGGTGCGGGCCTGGGCGACGGGCTAGGGCGCGGGCCTGGGCGACGGGCTAGGGTGCGGGCCTGGGCGACGGGCTAGGGCGCGGGCCTGGGCGACGGGCTAGGGCGCGGGCCCGGGCGACGGGCTAGGCGCGGGCCTGGGCGACGGGCTAGGGGCGCGGAGGGCGCTGACGAGCGGAGGAGGAGGGCGCTAGGGCGCGGAGAGGGCGCGGAGGGCACGGAGGCTAAGGCGCGGAGGGCGCGGAGGGCACGGAGGCTAAGGCGCGGAGGGCGCGGAGGGCGCGGAGGGCGCGGAGGGTGTGGAGGGTGTTAGATTATAATGCTTGTCTAGCCTGCAGTGGGGTACTCTGTAGTGAGTACAGCCCCTTAGGGTTTCCTATTTGTATCCCAACTGTTGCTAGTCAAACCATCCTTTTGCTCATTTCTCTCTTGCCTAGCTAGGAAACCCTAGCTATGGCTCCTGCTCATGCCTACTATTTTAAACATGCTATCAGAGCAGGTCGACCCTCCTGGGTCGTTCCTGTGTATGGGCCCACCATCTCACTGCTTCCGCTGCCACTGCTACCCTGTGTGTTGCACGCCCCATGGCGTGCGACGGATTTCTCTTCCCGCCGCGCGCAGTCGGAGCGTGCGGCGGTTTTCTGCCCGCCGTGCGCCCCGAGGCGCGCGGCGGTTTTCTGCCCGCCGTGCGCCCCGGGGCGTGCGGCGGTTCTCTGCCCGCCGTGCGCCCCGAGGCGCGCGGCGGCTTTCTGCCCCGTCAGTCCGCACGTCGCTCCCGGGGGGCGCTTCGACGGGCGACGGGGACCAGCCCGTCGTCCCCGGTCGCCCGTCCCGGCCAGCGCGGGCTGCGCTAGCCCCGAGCGCGGCCCGTACGGGGTGCGCCCGGCCCGCGCGCGGCCCGTACGGACTGCGCCAGGCCCGCGCGCGGCCCGTACGGGCTGCGCCAGACCCGCGCGCGGGCCCGTACGGACTGCGCAAAGCCCGCGCGCGGCTCGGGCCGCCTGCGCGCGGCTCGTCTGGCTGTGCCAGGCCCGTGGGCGGCCCGTTCTTCTCTGCCCCTGAGCTGCCCGCTGTTCCCCGTGCTTCTGACGGCGCCCCTCCCCTGCTGCTTGCCCGTTCTCCTGAATTAGGGTTTGGGGGTGGGGGGGTATGGGGGTGCAGTTTCTGTGCGCCGTCCCCTGCTCCTCCTCCTCCTCCGTCTCCCACTGCTGCAGCTGCCGCTGAGGGGGGTGGGTGTGTGGGAGCCGAGGGTTTAGGGTTTAAGGGGGGTGACGTGGGAGTGGAGCTAGGGGTGCAGCAAGGGGTGTGTGAAAGGGGGTGGGACAGTTGGGGGAAGTTGAGCGGAGGCAGCAGTCGTGTCGCCACCAGCGCCAGCAGTCCGGAGGCTACAATCTTCGGTAGTCGCCAGTCGCCTGTGGGTCAGTTGCTCTAGTCAGGAGGCTACAATCTCCGCGGAGCCAGTTACTCCTGTAGTCCGGGCCATTGCTTCGGTAGCCACTGAGCCAGCCGCTCCTGTGTGTCTGCAGCTTCCACCATAGCCTCACATCTCCTCTCCTCTCACAGTCACTCCTCCTCCTCACTTGCCCTCTGCGACTGCCTTCTAGCTTTACTTGTGCATGTGAACCTGCTCTATGACTGCTTGCTCTGCTGATTATACCCCACTTTGACTATGGGGGTGTGTCAGATTATAATGCTTGTCTAGCCTGCAGTGGGGTACTCTGTAGTGAGTACAGCCCCTTAGGGTTTCCTATTTGTATCCCAACTGTTGCTATTCAAACCATCCTTTTGCTCATTTCTCTCTTGCCTAGCTAGGAAACCCTAGCTATGGCTCCTGCTCATGCCTAGCTAGGAAACCCTCTCTTAACAGAGGGCGCGGAGGTGCGCTAGAGAGGGCGAAGGGCTAGGAAGTAGGAATGCAACGGAATGTTTGTGATTAGCAAAGGAAGGGGTACAAATAGGAAACCCTAAAACTGTTGTACTCACTAAAGAGCACCTCACTGTTGCCTACAACAAATAACAACATTTGACAAGCGGGTCTTATATACGGGGGTTTACGGGAGGTGAGAAACATTGTGCACCACCAAAGATGTTTATAACTACACGAAACTACAGCTACTGGCAGTTACATAAATGTATATATATATATTTATATATACATATTATACCGTATTCTCCTGGACATAACACCCTGGGGTGTTATGATAAATACAGGGAAAAAAATGGGGGGGGGGGGGGGGGGGGGGGGGGGGGGGGGGGGGGGGGGGGGGGGGGGGGGGGGGGGGGGGGGGGGGGGGGGGGGGGGGGGGGGGGGGGGGGGGG